AAATACATGCAGTCAAGATTTCAGTGTCTGCCTATTCCAGTTATTAGTCAAGAAGGTGTCAAATAGGAAATCCAAATACCCTTGCTTGAAATGCTGAATCTTCCTGGACAGCTCTTGAGTACTTCTTTAACCGAAGAGATTAATGTTTCATATATATTAAACCACGAAAATACTTTAAAAATTCTATACTAATGTCATAAGACACAAAGAGCCAAGCAACAAAAATGAATTTCCAAGAAGGCTTTAAAATAAACATAACCAGGTTTTACAATAAGGTGCTCTTTACATTATCTTCCTGAAATAATGTAGGTCGTGCTGCCCTCTTGTGCCAGATGTAAAACATAAAACGGATTCTGCCCAAACAAGGCAACATGACTTACATTTAAAACAGAAAGCATACCTTAATTTCTAAATGACTTACTACTGACCTGGGATATGTGGTTGTCATTTATTAAGATGTGACAGAACTGAAATGGGGCCAAAATAAAATACAAACTTTGACTAGGAAGAGAAAGACGGAGAAAATAACACAAAGACACAGAAAACATCTGCACAAAATGCACTATTCAACTCAAAGTAGCATCAAAATGTGCATCATATGCCAGGGCAGCTGAAAAGGTGGGGCTATCAAACAGACAGTAAGTACGATTACCAAAATACATCAAAAAAGGATTACCAAAATACATCTACAAAATAGAGATGAGTGGAAGAAAGTGGTAAAAAGAAAAGAAGAGGAAAAAAGAAAACTGCCTTTTGCATTCTAAAGCTACATTTGGGTTATTTAGAATTTTACCCAGACAGCTTAAGATTCATCAGGTTATGAAAGATCAGTAGGCATAAGGTATCTTACTACATAAACAAATTCTAAAAGATCTTCATGCAATCATACATGAGTTCAAAAACAGACCGTCACTTAAAGTCCTAATGTTAAGGAGCTTGAAAAGGTTTGATCTTCATCTGGAGCATTCAAGTGCACTCAGAGAAACTTCACCACTAAGAAGATACAGGTACCTCCCTGTGAACCCACCTTCTCCTGAAATCCAAGTAAGTGAAGTTGGGGCTCTGAGGTGGCAGCCAGAGCTTCAGGATGCTCCACTGAAAGCTTAGGTCTCTGAATAAATGTAAAGAGTGTCTCATGGATTAACAAATTGCATGAGGAACCGGGAGAAAGGGTGAGAGAAAGGGTACTCTGAGGGGAAGCACTCATGAGTGAAGGGAAAAGACGTTTCTAACTAGGACTGCCACATTGTCATTAGCCGCCAGCATTCTCTGGGTTGCACATGATACATATGTCTTTTGACCACATCTGTAACTCCCTAGTGTCCTCCAGATTGGAGTCGCTGGGAATATTTGGCACAAGCAGAGACTGGAGATGGGTATGTAAGGCAACAATACCAAGATGACCTCAAGTCCAAGCTAGTAAGCTTGTGGTTCTCACAGGCAGGGCGCTGCAGGTGACAGACCAGGTGGTGCTACACCTAGCCATCACCATGTGAAGGTCTAGCTTCCGCTGCCATTAGCTACCACTGAGTCGGCCCCTGACCCATACCAACCACATGTACAAGGAAATGAAAAGCTGCCTTGTCCTGTGCCATCCCCATTCCCAGCTGCTGGTTGGACCATTGTGATCCACAGGATTTTACTTGGCTAATTTTTGGATCAAATTTTGGTTCAAACCCACCAGCAACTCCTCGGAAGGAAGGTTGGGCAATCCTACTTCGTAGTGATACTGTCTTGGCAACCCAAGGAGGGGTCACTATGAGTCAGGTCCAACTCGACGGCACATAACAACAACAACAACAACAATTTTTGGAAGCAGAACCCGAGGCCTTTCTTCTGCATCTGGAAGCTATGCAGAAAGTTACTGAGCATCAAAGCAACATGCAACCCTCTGCTGACAGACAGGTGGTGGCCAGCCATGAAGTGCACTGGGAAGGAATTGAACCTGGGTCTCCTGCATGGAAAGCAAGAATTCTGCCATCGAGCCATCACTGTGAGTCCTTCCCACCCCCTCTGTTTCTTAATATCTGGGGATTCTAAGCATCTGGAGCTCACAGAAATCTCTTACTGACCCCTGGCCTCCTCTGAAAGATAGCTCTGAAAAAAAAAGATAGCTCCTTAAAAAAAAAAAAAAAGGAAGATCTGCTTCCCCATTTCTCTATGCTGGTTCTAGAACACACTCTGTAACTCAAGGGAGCATGACGTGATGCTGGTTGGTTATATACATTAAACAAGACTTAAAAATCAAGCATGTCTACCCCTCCACACTAGAGCAGAAATTATTATGAGCCACTCCTCGTAAGGAAGGTTGGGCAATCCTACTTCCGTAGTGATACTGCCTCTGAAACCCAAGGAGGGGTTGCTATGAGTCGGGCCGACTCGACGGCACATAACAACAACAACAACAATAACCATTAAAGTTATATAAACTCAATGATGTGACCTGTGAAGCATAATTCACAGCTCTGAGGTTCTTCACTATAAAAACTATAAAAAAAACTACAAAAATTTTACTCACAGAGAAATTAAAGATCTACCACTAAAAGTATAAATGATGACCCCAACATTTTGGGCAAATTAGACCCCTTTGGGGTATTTCTTTGTGCTTCTATTTTATTGTCAAGATAAAATCCTATTAATAGATACAGAATGGGTTCCTCTAAGATGAGAAACTTCAAAGATTCAGACTTGGTCATAAATCCCTAAGTCTAGCATGCGGAGAAGCCTATAGGTCTTGAACATGAAGAGTCTGATAAACTGTACACCTACTCCCCACTTATCAATTATCTTGTTATGCTACATTTTGCATTTATGATACAGGAGAAAAAAAAAAAACACCATCCAACTATTTTGCACAAACATTGGGCAGTAATAACTGCTGAGGTGCTAGGTGAGAGTAACACTGGCTGTTATGGTTAAGGTGATGTGTCAACTTGGCTGGGCTGTGATTCTCAGTGGTCTGGCAGTTATGTAATGATATAATCTGGCAATTATGTAATGATACAGTCATCCTTCATTTTCATATAACACCAATTTTTTCATAACGACCTGGTCTTTAGAACCTAACCACATTGATAAGTAAGGAGTGGGTGTGTTTATTAAGTGCTGAATGTATGGTAAGCATAGTTCCAAGAGATGAGATGAATTAACCTGCTTAATTCTCACAGTATTTTAATGAGGTAAGTATGCATATTATTCCCATTTTATAGATGAGGAAAAGAAGGCACAGAGAAGTTAAGTAACAACTACAGAAGAAGTGTTAATAACAAATTTTTGTTGTTATTAGTTGTCATCAAGTTGTGTACTACTCATGGTGACCCTTTGTGTGCAGAGTAGAACTACTCCATAGGGTTTTCAAGGCTGTGACCTTTCAGAGCAGACTTCAAGGCCTGTCTTCTGAGGGGCCTGAATGGGTTTGAACTGTGAACCTTTCGGTGAGTAGTTAAGCACTTAACTATCTGTGCCACCCCAGAAAACCAAACCTACTACCATCAAGTCAATTCTAACTCATGGTATCCCTACATGAGAAGAAATGCCCCCTAGGGTTTCTAAGACTGTAAATCTTTATGGAAGCAGATTGCCTTTTGTGGAGTGGCTGGTAGGTTCAAACTGCCAACCTTTTGATGAGCAATTAAATGTCTTAACCACTGTACCACCAGGACTCCTTATGTCCCGTAGGATCTCCTATATTAGTAACTAGCATCAGTTATTAATATTTATAACTACCACCTAATGCTATTAGGAATTAGCGGCAGGACTGAACCCAGGCAGCTGGCTCCAGAGTCCACATCTTTAACCAAAACATCATCTGCTTTCAGGTTTGTCTATCCAATAGTACCTAGATGACTTGGTTTGGTTGTATTAGCTAAGTCAACTCCAAGGCCAAGGCTACTCCTGTGCTCCCTCCAGTCCTCCCTCCTGCCTCTACACGTCTTGTCTATTATCACCTGAACAAACAAAGCCACACTGGGCCTCACCACAAGCCCAACTGACCACAAGCCTAACTAACTCTTCATAGGCATCCTGATGAGAGAAGTTACCTTCAGAAACACAACAGCTCAAAGGGCATCAGGGTGGAGGCATCAACCACTTGAAAACTATCAGGTACACTCATAGCAAGGAACTTACTACTAAAGAACAAGCATGCCAATACCACAAGTCACTAATATATAACCAAAAGTCCATTTTATACCCACAGAGTTAATGCTTGTATTAGAGATGTTCACACTTTACCAGTATTGAGTTTTAATTTATCACCATGTTAGGTAAACCACAGAGGACAGGTAAACTCAAGATCTCTTTGGTTCCAGAAATGGACGGACTTCCCAATGACAGAAACAAACACACAGCTTGTCTCATGTCATCTAATAAGGTACCTGGTAAAGAGAGCTTCCCTGATAAGCAAAAGTCTTTCTTTAAAAAGATGCCATAGCCTAACTAGTTGCCACTGAGTAAGTTCTGACTCTTGGAAAACCCATGTGCTTCAGAGTACAGCTGTGCATACAGTTTTCATTGGTTGTGATTGTTCAGAAGTAGCTCTCTAGGCCTTCCTTCCCAGGTGCATCTCTGGGTGGATCTGAACCACCAACCTTTCGGTTAGTAGCCAAGAGCTCTACCATTCGCACCACTCGGGAACTCCTAGAGCCATGTAAATAAAGTCAATGTTTTAGGATTCAACTATATTTCAATATGTTTGCATTTAATGTAGGGTATTTCATATGCCATACAACAAAGAGATTCTTAAATCATGCTGCGAAATGAACATTCTTTTATTTACACACATACACATATACTGGAATGAAACATTGCATGCCACCCATATTTAGATTTGCTCTGGCAGAAAAAAACCAAAGTGAAGCATTTTTTTAAGAAAATGAATCGACACACTACAGTGATTTTCCTCCAAGTATCTCCCCCCTCAAATTCAAATATTAAAATGAATTCAGATACTAAATGTGTTAACAAGACTTAGTTACTGATAAACTTGTTGTCCGACTTACCTATTGGGTTTCTGTCAAAGAACAACACTGGCGCTTTCAAAATTGACTCAAACATTTTGTTGTGCAGAGTTTGAGAAGAATTGACAAGGATGTAGAACACCAACAGAGATCTTGCTATGCCAAAAAGGACGGTGGCTACAGTCAAACCTGAAAGAAACAAACAGCCCTCAGAGAGTACAGGATCTCTGCAGTTCCTTATTCCCTTATACAGTGCTAAAGCGGTCAAGCAGATCATAAAGATATCACTTATTTCAACTTCTAAATCAATTATGAGTTCTATTAAAAAGTCACAAATAAGAAAAGCAATTATAAAAAGTAGTTGGTATGCTGAATTAGTATCTATTCAACAACAAAACAAAATATATTTTTAAAAAAGTAGTTGACCTTCCCTTTTCCATGTTCCAAGTCTTACTAAAATTTACTACATGTCTCATAATCTAACTGCACTGTTTTGAAGCCAGTATGTGCTATTAATAGAATCAGAGAAATAATTTCATTGTCCAATTTGCTTTAAAGAATTTGAAGATATCATACTAAATTGCAAGTGCAAAAACCTTTTAAGTAGTTGACTTGCAAGAAAATATAACAGCAAATATAATTAATTTTAACATAATTAATCCAAATGAGTAAATAATCTTCAATTAAGTGTTTTCATATAAATGGAGAATTTTTAAATGAACATAAATTAAATGAAATGTTTTATCAGTGAGACATAAATGGGGACTTACTACACACATAAAAATTAAAATAACTTTCCTAATATCTCGTGAACTCACAATGCTAAATAGAGTGGAGATAGCTCCTGTAATAAATATTCCATCGGGTAATTTTCTTCCCTTGAGATGATATATCATTGTTATTTTAAACTGTGAAAGCAGCTCAAATGCCTGAACTCTGTCAATAGGCATTTTCCTTAGCCCGCAATCTTACATGAATTTATAATAGAATCGTTTTTCTTCCTCCTTCAGGTCTCACATGGTCCACCAATTCAGAAGGTAAACACCTAACGGATTTAGATTTCTTAGCAACTGATCAACGAAATAAATACCAAATTTAAATGAGTGGGTTTTTACAAAGATAACTCACTCTATCCTTGAGAAAAGCTTGTATGGGAGCTTGCTGTGGAAACATTTAAAATTTTAGATGAGGATTTTCTTTAAAAAGTACTAATGCTACATATATTCTAAGCGCTGTAATAAGAACAGAGTACTATGGTAATATTAGTCTGGCAAGTCGAATGTTAAATAATCACACAGTTGGGAACGCGATAACATTGTGATGCCGAGGTAAAAAAGGGAAGGAATCCTTACTCTCAGACACAGGATTTGTCCCTGCTTAGCTTCCCTCTTAAGTAATTAGTGAAGCCCAAGAGATGAGCAGTATGGTGATGGGAGCTTTGCATACCAGGGAGGGAATAATGCTTTTATTTTGGGTGCTTTGCTTCCAGAGGATTGCATCCAAGTTAAATAAAAGACAGGGTTTATTCAGACAGAATTGGAACAATTCGAACCACAGGGTGGGGATCCGTTTCTAATCCCCTTGCCCATCCATATAATGATATAAGATTTAGCTAAAGCAACCTATTAGAATAGACAATAGCCACATATTTCCAGTGGCTGACTTTCTGAATGCTCAATCCTGGTTTAACTTTCAAAATCCAGTACAGAGCAAATTAAGAGTCTTCATTCAGCCTCTTTCTTGCAGTCGATTTTTAAAATAATTATTCTAATTAATTCACAGAGTAAATGCGACTCAGACTCTTAATCTGTTAAGACATTACTGAATTACTCCTGGAAGCCCTAGTTGCTCACACAGGCTCATTGTAAGCACCTCAGACTCTCGCATAATAGACCAAATGATTAAAACTTTACCTGAATAAATTCCTAAGTACCAGTTAAGATCTAGCGTCTCAGTTACATTTCCTTTTCCATTTACAGTGACATTCAGTGCACTCTGTTCATTTGCCCTATGGAACAGGGGAGAAAAATATTAAGCTACAGACTGAGTTTAGATAAATACAAAATAGTAATAATAATCTCAATTTGGGAGAAATATTTTATGCTAGAAAATGATTCCCAGCTTACACAGTGCTGTATATATCCATCCACCTTATAAAAATTCAATTTGAACCATGACTTTCAGTTCTTAAAAATGTCTGTGAACATGTGGCTGAGGATCAGACATGGGTACAGACCATTACAGGTCACACTCCACCAGCAAGAACTTTAATTTTTCTCAGGTAAACTAAGTGAGGATTAGACGAGAAGGCTGAACAAACTTCATCTCCCCTAACTCTGTGAAAAAGGGAGGTCTCATAGTGATTTTATAGTACTTCCTGTCAGACAAGAAATAACTCACCAATATGAAAGCCACCAATCCTGAAGAATATAGGAAACCTAGGGTAGGAAAAACAATCAATCATTGGCATTACTAACTAACAAAACTCTTAATTATTGTAATCAAAAGGTTCCAGAGAACTGAAATGGTCCTTTCAGTTTAGGTCTGGGTGAAGCACAGCACCCTAGATAACAACAGGTCAAGTAAATGCACGTAACGTTTTAAAATCTTGCATTGATATTCTTTTGTTCTAGATGGTCTTTGTAAAGTGTGTGCAACATCAGTAACCATCACTTACTCTGTTCACAAATAGAACTTTTGAAACCAAATCCAAGTGAACTGAAAAATACAGTAATACTACCAATAAATATGGGCATGTACAATTATCAATCGAAGGACATAAAGTTCGTGATTTACCAGAGCAGCAGCATTTAGTAGAACAAGGAAAATGATGATAAGCCAGTGAGCACCAGCTGCAAAATAATTCTTGTAGGCCTTAAGACCAACTTTTCCTTCAGAACGGCTCTCCTCTGACAGTGTGACCTGTGTATCCTCAGTCTGTGAAGTTTAAAAAAGAAAAATGAAGCCACTAAGAAACAATATTTTAATTAGTTTACAAAAATGTTTCAAAAATTAACAATGCATTCTGTTGGCAAAGCTGCAAGAAAACAAGGACATCTCATACACTGCTGGTAGAGGTGCAAAATGTGGAAAAGAATGTGGCATTATCTAGCCAAACTATATATGCATTTATATCCTAGGATCCAGCTATTCCACCTCTAGGCATCTATTAGAAATAAAGAAATGTCATTTGCACAAGGTTAGTCATTGTGGCATGGTGTGGTAGTCAAGTTGTGTGTCAACTTGACTAGGCCTGGTTTTGAATGGATCAGCAGCTGGATGTAGTTATTCCCCATGATGATAGGGGTGGGTAATTGGCTCCATGGTGCAATCTACTGGAGCAGCTGAGTAGATGCTTTAGGGATGTGGTCTGCTTCCAGTGTATAAGGAAAAGCTTTGAGAAAGGTCTCTGCAGTTTTTTGGCATGCTTGGATCAAGTGTTCATTCAGCCGCCTGCCATGTTTCCTACTGATCTTGAGACCGTTTCTGGACTTGAACTTGTGGCCTGCCATGCTGTTTGGTTATCTTGGGACTGTGCCATTTATCTGTCGACCATGAGTTTGTCAGCCTCAGCAGCCAGCAGCTGCTTGAGTGAAGAGACACCTCCAGCTATGTTTTAATTACCTAGTGCCACTCTAACAGAAAATACCACAAATGTGATGGCTTTAACAAACAGGAGTTTATTCTCTTGCAATTTTTGGAGGATAGAAGTCTGAATGCAAAGTACCAGGCTCTAGAGGCTAGATAAAAGCCCCTTGACCTTGGGCTTCATTCAGCTCTGCCTCCTGCTCCTGGCCCACTGAAGCTGGAGGCTTTTTTCACTCAGGCAGCTGCTGACTGCTGAGGCTGTCAAACCCAAGATCAAGAAGTAAAAAGGCACAGTCTCAATATTACCAAACAACACAGCAGGCCACTTATTCAAGTCCAGAAAAAGTCCCAAGATCAACAGGGCATGGCAGGCTGCTGAACAATGACTTGGCTACATGCACAGTTCAAGCATGCCAGAAAGCTGCCCACTATTCCTAAAGCTTCTCATTATATAGTGGGAGCAGACCATAGCCCTAAGGCAGCTACTCAGCTGCTCACAGTAGATTTCACCATGGAGTTGATTACCAGACTCATCATGGGGAATCACTACATCCAGCTGCCCAGCCACTCAAAACCAGGCCCAGCCAAGTTGACACATAACTACCACAAGCTCCAATGGGCTGGGAGCAAGAGGCAGAGCTGAAGCCCAAGGTCGAGGGGCCTTCACCTAGCCCCTAGAACTTGGCACTGTGAACTCACCCTTCTAGCCTCCAAAACTATAAGAGAATAAATCCGTTTGTTAAAGCCATCTAACCATGTGTGGTATTTTCTGTTAGAGCAGTGCTACAGAACCAAAACACATGGCTTTGCCTGAAGTCTAACATCACAATTTCCAACATATGCCACCATACCCAATTCAAATATCAATGGAGAAGCTTGTTCCTAAATAATGACCAAAATGATCTGTCACTAATGTACTATTCTCATGGAGCTCTGGTGGCATAGTGTGTAGGGCATTTGACTGCTAACCAGAAGGTGGTGGTTACTTCTGAGGCCACTCCTCAGAAGGAAGATTGGGCAATCTACTTCCATAGGGAAACCACCTCAGAAACCCAAGGAGGGGTGGCTATGAGTCAGATCCGACTTGATAGCAGTGAGTTTGGTTTTTTTGTGCTACTCTCAATGATCTGTGTCACTCAGTGATGGCAACATAAAAGAAAATGATAGCCAAATACAGTAACTGTTCAAATAATAAGTTTGGCTGATGAGAGTCTGTATGGCAAGGGATAGCATATTAGGTTCCTGAGTTTCAGAATTACCCACACTCCCGAGTCTGTACAGTGAGGGTTTGGATGTGAGCAAAACCTTATATATTTTTACAGGTACTCGAATGCATTTATGAGGGTGTTCTGGAGGTACAAACAGTTAAGCATTCTGCTGCTGGGGTTAGCGGTTCAAATGCACCAAGCAGCTTGGCAGGAGAAAAACCTACTTTCATAAAGTATTTCAGCCAAGAAAACTCTATGGAGCACTTTTATTCTGTCACATGGATTCATTATGAGCCTGAGTTGAAAATGACTCAGTACCACCCAACAACCAACCAACAGTGCACTTCTTTCTGCCTGGAGGACTTAGAATCTTTTCTAGATTCATGAGTTAAGGATATGATTGGCACTATATTGGCCACTGGGAATTCAAACATGAATAACACATGGTTCCTCATTTTGAAGGATAAGAAAGAAAGGTGAGAACTAACTCTGAAGTTCTTACTGTGTGCCAGGAATTCTTGGTGCTTTGCACATGCCACTACTGGGCTATCACAAAACATTAGACAAGTGGGCAAAAACATACCATCAGCCACCTGCAGTGCCAGAACATTCCAACGTATATGAAAAGCATCCAGTTTAATGGGGGCCACAGCAGGGCTCAGTCTATAAAAATCATTGCCATCAGGTTGATTCTGACACTTAGCAACCCTACAGGACACAACAGAGTAAAGGTGCCCCATAGGCTTTCCAAAGTTGTAATATTTACAGAAGCACATTACCACATCTTTGTCTTGTGAAGTGTTTGAACCACTGACCTTTCCCTAAGCAGCCAAGTGCTTAACCACTGTGCTACCAGGACTCCTTGACTCAGTCGACTGGAGTATTCAAATTATATCTCCCGATACAAAAGAAAAGCCTGGTGCCACCAGAAAAAGTAAACTGAAAAGTCCTACTATCATTGTGAGCCACAAAAGTCCTTAGAATTAGTAGTGGCACACCCACCACTAATATCCATGGCAGTTTTCATCTCACATCCAAAGGCTAACCCAAATCAGGCTTGCCCCTCTTCATTATGTTTTAATCCTATCAATTAGTGAATAAGGCATCAGAATCATGCATTCTACTTTGGGACAATGAAGATATCATAAGCAGAGCTGACTGAAGATCTATGAGGTCAATACAAGCCAACAAAACGTGCTCTAAGATAAGATGGAACTCACAGGTTGGCCCTCTTGAGCACCCTCTTTCAGTGAGACTTTAGAAGACTGCTGAGACCAAATCGAAGACTCAGAGAAGGTACGATGCCTCAGGGTGGGAGTTCCTGGAGCCGGAGACTGCTCAGTTTCCTCATTTTCCTTCTTTAAGAGGGAACCAAAGTCTACCCCAGATTTCAGAAATTCAGTATAAGTCCCCTTCTGTACCATTTCACCCTAAAATAAAAATAAAGAATTTGAAAGTAGTACATTTGTATCTGATAACACTAGTCTAATCTAATCTAACATTAATACAAATCAAGAAAAGTTAACTGGTCTTACTCTGTGATTTTCTTAAATATATTATCCTTAGGTCTGGAGTTCTGATTTATTAATCTAGTTAAATTCAACTTGACACTTAATAACTGAGCATCCCTTTCTCTGATAAACTCTATGTTAGGTGTAGAAGGATATAAAATAAATGTGTAATCGTGTTAAAACTGGAGGTCACTGACATAAACACCAAGGACATTTAAGGAAACAAAAAGCAGACATGTTGGTGGGAGTACAGCCTTTGTAACCACATAGAAATTGAGATAAGACTCATGGAATAAGAAGAATTTAAAAGAAGAGTACAATGGGCAAGATATTCCATAACAGAAACACAAGATTGATGAAGAAGTAGGCAGACGCATGCACACATAGGTAAAAATCACTCAACACACCTCTGCTGATCATGCACTGTGTGCTCCCACTAGGCAAGAACATTTGGGAACTAGCCCTACACATAGAATCCATGTGATGCATCGTCATGGTCCCTACTCTGAAAATACCCTACAAACTCAGGAAGTTCCTGACTAAATATTCAACATTAAATGTGACACTTCACTGCAGTTTCCCTGCCATAAAAAGTTCTATCAAATAATGTACAAATATTTTCAATATTTCTTCAACCCATGAAGCAAGACCCTGATTTTTTTAAGTCAATTTTGTCAGTAGTACAGATCTAATCCAAGAGCCCATACCCTTTGGGTACCAGCTAAAAATATTGAGGAAAAAGGAGTCAGTTTGGGGAGGTATATGTAGCCATGTAGCCATTTTGCAAATTTGTCTGTCCTGTTTTATCTTATTGGAGGTATTAATCTAAATGTAACAAGAATATTAGCAATGATATAAACTTCACCTTGTTAAGCTAAAAGGAAATCTAAAGATATTCAGTTATCTAATACAACTTTGGTTAAAATTTGACTTAAACAGTGGCAAATGACAAACCAGCCAAAAAATCACAGGATACAAGACAAATGAAAGAAGAACAGCTCTGGTTAAAGAAGTCAGGTTGGGAAAGGTGGCCCAGGGCCCTACCTGTCACATTCTCTCTGCTTATCCCCCAAGATAGGTCCACTGAGAAAAATCCAATGATACTTTGGGGCTCTAAAGAACAATTTATTTTCTAATTGCTGCAGAATTAGAAAAGTATTCATGATACACTGTATCTTGTTCTACTTAGGAGACAAATTCAAATGCCTAATTTAATAAAAGTACCACTTCCCACCTATCATCTGGAAGACACACTAGGAAACTACTACTGGTATACAAAACCAAAGCCAAACCCACTGCCATCAAGTCGATTCTGACTCAGTGATCCCCACTGGGTTTCCAAGGCTATAAACCTTTACAGAAGCAGACTGCCTAACCTTCCTCTAGCAGAGCAGCTAGTGGGTTTAAACTGCTTTCTGGTTATTAGCCAAATGCCTTACCCACTATACCACCGGAGCTCCTACTACTGGTATAAAGAGAGGAATTTTACTCAGAATCCCAAGTACTGACAATTCATAGAGGGGACAGAGGGAGCACCAATCCCTTCCTGCTGTAGAGAGGAATCAGACAAACAGTAAGATGCCCACACTAGGCAAATGGGTGTTTTGATAGTCCTGAAACTGGGAATAATGTCCTCAAATTAAGCAATAAGGGGTACACCAAGATATCTAGAGACTATATGGGTTATTCAACTACCTGTTTACTCTGAACTCATAATATGACTAATATTCAGGTCTCACCACACTCGTTTCAGCCCTCTGCTCATGGAATTCTTTTAAGTTTGAGGAATCTGGGTTCCCAAAGCCTAGAGGAACGAGGAAGAACAGACTCACGGACTACTTCTAAAAAGGCAGGCGTGCTAGCCTTTTTAATAATCTTTCTGGAGGTAGAAATTCATGTGACACAGCTTCAGTGAACAGGTTCTTCACTGTTTTGTAACAGTCAGTCACATTAAACACCAAGTAGGCACTCAAACAAACAAACAAAAAAGGACTATGTGCAAGAACTTTGCGAGCATTATTTATTCCATTTGTCACAGTAATGTGAACTTTTCTCTCTCTTTGAAAATGGTATACACAAATCTTGTGAACTATAGTTAATATTCCTAACTTGTTAATTCTATGGGTGTATCAATAGAATACGAGGAGGAGAAATATTAAGCATCTGAAGAGTGCTAAAGAGGTTTCAGACAACAGATGTGACCAAGGGACTTTTGGAAAAGTCAAGGGTTAAAGACTGGGCTACTGAGCTACCAAGCCAAGAAGAGATGCACGAACAGCTGCTAAGCCTAGAGAGTTCTCGCTACCTTGCCTTGCTCCCAGCCATGCAAGCCTAAGCCCACACGTGTGTCTTTTGGAACACTAAGACTTCTAACTGGTCTCCTTGCTTCTGCTGTTGTCCCTCCAATATAGCTAAAGATCTTTTAGACCAAAGAAGGGAGGGGGCAACGAGGAATAGAATTTCAAATTCTCATGGAATATAGACTTCTTGAGCCATGGAGGCTGGTGAACTCCTGATCCTATTGCTCTGAGATAATCTTTAAACTTGAACCATTAAAATGAAAATATCCCCTGAAAGCTTCTTTAAACCAAACAATAGTTTAGCTTAATTAGTAACAAACGTCTGCCTTGAGCACTATGCTCTTTAAGGAACTATCTGTATGGGATCAAATGGACAACAGCAATTTGAAAGGTTACATAGGAAGCTTGGGTATATTCAGTGTATTTGTGTTAATGGGGAAGAACAATTTGGAAAGGAGGGTGAGAACAGTTGCACAACTTGAAGAATATAATTGACGTTACTGAATTAATTGTCCATGTAGAAATTGTTGAACTGGTATATCTTTTGCTGTGTATGTTTTCAACAGCAACAACAAAATGATTGATAGAAAATAAATAAATAAAAACAGAACAAAGCGAAAACTGTTGAAAATTTGCCAAACTTATTTTACCTGCTCATGGTAAATATTATTTCAGGAGTCTCTAGTGATATCTGAACCATTTATTCATAGCTCATTGCTCCCCAAACCCAAAGGGGTGATTACGTTAAAACACAAATCTGACTGTCACTGTCCTGCTCTGGACCATCCAGGAGGTTCCATCACACGTCCAGGTCTACTTTCCTCCACTCTGAGCCCATCTCCCATCACATGCTCTCTGGCTCACTCGTCAACTAGACTAGCCTTCTTGCCATTCCGCCAACATGCCAGATTAGCTCCTTCCTCAGGAAGTTACTCAATGTCCTTCCCTGGTCCAGCTGTCTGTAATATTCCTCCCCTACTTCCGTAGTGATACTGCCTCGGAAACCCAAGGAGGGGTCGCTATGAGTCGGGGCCGACTCGACGGCACATAACAACAACAACAACAGGTGATTACATGGTCTGTGACTGCATATCCCTCAGGTCCCCATGAAGGGTCACCTACTCAGAGAGGACTTCCTGATATCAACCCTAATCCCTAGCTCCTTCACTGCATCTATTCCCACTAAGCATGTAAGTCCCATGATAGCAAGGACTTTGTCTTACTTACTGCCATACCTAACACCTAATATAGGATCATATATATAAAGGCACCCAAAAGATACCTATGGGTTGAGCCTAAAGAAATGGCTATACCAGGATCGTGGAGGCTTCTAATAGGGGGTGCTCAGTTATCCAACTATGTTTCTGTTATTAACGAAAGATGCTCTGTAAATAAATTGCATGTAATAATCAAATGAATACAAAGATACATTTATAACTATAAATTAGAATTAATGTAACTTAAGTCACAGAGAGAAATCATTTCTAAATACCAAATTCATTATTTTAACAATTTCTCTATAACAGTTATAATTTTATAACTTTTAGAGAGCAATTTTATCTACTTTAGGGTTCTGTGGTGTATAATGCAATGATGCTATTTCTACAAGCCACTTGAATTTATCCTCAAAGGCAAGAATACTATCTCTGAAACAAATGTAAAAACTGAAGGGAGTTTACCATGAAGCCCAAGTGAAGGCACCAGCTAAGAGACCACCCCTTCAACACACCTGAATACTAGTAAGTTCTCTAGACTCTTAGAAATTACTTACATCTTTCAATATCAGAATCTGACTTGCAGCTTTTAGGTATTGCAACTGATGAGTCACTAAGATTGTGATCTTCTCATGCAAGGTTTGACAAATACACCTGTAAATATAAATACAATTGTAAAAGGTACCAAGGATAGCAACACATTAACGTGGGGGGGAGGCTCCACTGAAAACCACATACTGTGAAACCACGATGAGACCAAGATAACATGGTAGTAAAAAATCTGCAGTCTAACTATAAATAAGAACTAAATCAAAATACAAATATAAAAATAAATGAAATGCAAATATAAATCAATAAAGTCTATTCAGTCCTCAAATTCACTAGCAGTGCAAAGATAAGCCTGGCTCTGCTTAAGAAATTGTCAAAAGCAGTCCAGCAGAAAGGATGTATGACTATTAATTTTCTTTTCTAAAACTCACTTTAACACTTACTTTGTACATTTGATGCTAAAAAAAAATTGAATACTGAGACTCCAAAATATAGCAACTAAAATACTAATTATTTTATCCCTGGTGGAGGGATAGAGAACAGGGAGATATAAAAACGTAAAATGTGTGAAAATGTGTACATTTTTCTTAGTTTCCTAGGTGATTCATGATGGATGTATTAAACACCCCCCCCCAAAAAAAGACCACAGATTCTCAGCAACTTTAGCCAAAGTGTACTTTCCAGACCATTCTTTCCAAATATTAGACATAAGATTAACATTAAAAAAAAAAAAAAGTTGCAATTGAGTCGATTACAACTTTCAGAGACCCCATGTATTAACAAAGTAGAACTGCCCCCAGAGGGCTTTCTCTGCTGTGATCTTTGCAGAAGCAAATTGTAAGGCCTCTCTTCTATAGTGAATGGGTTCGAACCACCAACCTTTAGGCTAATAGTCAAGCATAAATCATTTGAACCACCAATGACCTTAAACTAATATTACAAACCCAAATGACCCAACCCTATTGTCATCAAGTTGATTCTGACTCATAGCAACCCTATAGAACAGAGTAGAAATGCCCCACAGGGTATCAAAGGCTAAAATCTTTACCAAAGGAGACTGCCCCATCTTTTTCCTGCAGAGGAACTGATTGGTTCTAACTACTGGCCTTTCAAATAAGAGCCAAGCTCTTAATCATTGAGTCACCAGGCCTCCTTAAACTAATATTAATGAGGCCTAAATCAGTCCTCAGGGGAAGCAAGTCTTTTATTAGGGCTAAAAAACTTCCAATTTTGAAAATTAAAAAAAAAAAAAAAGTTCAAATGTTCTAAATTATAGCAGAAATCATCTATTAGCTCTAAGAACATGTCGATGCTCTTAGCCAAGCCCACCTCAGTATTTAAGTGTTTTTTTGTTTTGTTTTATAGTAAGCCCTCACAATGGTCTCCAACCTCTCCAGGCAAGTAAGCAAAGAAAACCCCAAATCGCCAGGTTCCTGCCTCATCTGTTGTTCTCCAGGTCTGTCTTAATTAGTCTCCTATCCAGCTCTTCTGCCTCAGTCCTTCTGAGACTCCCATTCACCTTCAGGAAGCAGGTCTAAGTCCTCAAAATGGCTAATAGGGTTCTTTGTACTCTGACTCATTGCCTTAGGCAAGACTTCTAGCATAAACTCAGGGTTGCCAAGTCCCCTGTGAAGCACATTTCAGGACCAAGGACACTGGCTATAGAGGGTCAGATCAAGGTTTATAGTGCCAGAATTCAAAGCCCTGCTCTCTTACTAGCCTGACAATGTTGGGTGACTTAATTAACCTTGCTGAACCTGAGTTTTGCCATCTGAGAATAGGGTTAGTATCTACTTATAGGCTAGTTATGAGAACTAAAAACACTAATCAGTGAAAAGGGGCTGGCATGTAACTGATGTTCCATAAACATTAGCTCCATTCTCCACTCTTGCCCTAACCCACAACAGGCCATGTGCTTTGGATTCTGGACTGAAAAGTCCTAAGGGGTGTTTCTGAGACTGAGCCTTTGATCAAAACCAAGAATCAGGATGTAGGCCATAAGAAGGAGACTTGGTGGTACAGTGGTTAAGTGCTCCACTAACCAAAAGGTTAGCTGTTCAAACCCACCAGCTGCTCTGCAAGAAAAAGATGTGGAAATGTCCTTCCATAAAGATTACAGTCTTGGAACCTATAGGGCAGTTCTATTCTGTCCTACAGGGTTGCTATGAGTTAGAATTGACTTAACAGGAAGGGGTTAGGTCAAAATACTATCACTTTAACTGTTAAGTCCAAAAGGACTAATATTTCCCTTTTGACATGACTTAGTTTGGTTTATTTCATGCCTAAATTTGCTCAATGAAGTAAACCCTTCTGCAGGTGTAGTATCAAAGCTTTCAATGGAATTGTTTTCCCTTCATTCAAAATTATCTCCCATTAATTACTTTACATAAATCTCTGAGAGCAGATGTTAATAATCAAATCTATGCTATGTCAAACATGGGCTTCAAAATGTTTCTTCCTAACATCTTTCATGGTACAAAGCATAAAGTAAATAATTATAACAATATTATCAGTTGACAGCTTTATTTTTCTAAATTATGCTTTTTTTAAAATCAAAATCTCCCTGAAAATAATCTATTTAAAATTTTTTTTAAGAATAAAAATTTCCAAGTATAGGCACTTGGAGACGTTGTGGGTTTGGTTCCAAACCACCACAATAAATTGAATTTCACAATATGGCAAGTCATACGACTTTGGTTGTTTCCCAGAGCATATAAAAGTTGTTTTCACTACACTATAGTGGCTAAGGCACTTGACTGCTAACCAGAAGGCTGGCGGTTCAAACCCACCAGTCTCTCCTCAGAAGGAAGGTTGGGCAATCCTACTTCCGTAGTGATACTGCCTCGGAAACCCAAGGAGGGGTCGCTATGAGTCGAGGCCGACTCGACGGCACATAACAACAACAACAACAATAGTTTATTAAGTGTGCAATAGCATTATAAAGGGAGTTGAAAGTAATATGAGAATTACCAAAATGTGACAGAGAAAGTACCAAAAGTGAACACATGTTGTTGGAAAAATAGTGCCAATAGAATTGGTCAGCTTCAGTTTGTAAAAAATGCATTGTCTACAAAGCATGATAACATGAAGTAAAATAAAACAAGGTATGACTATAATACCATTAAAAAAACAATTGATTCAGCAACCAGTTATTTTATCTTCTACATAAGGACTAACACATAACTGTGGTAAAGGTAATATAAGTAAGAAAGGGTCATTACTTTCATTCATTTAATAAACAGGTTATTTATTGAGCAGCTACAAAGTGCCAGGCACTGTTCTGAGGAAGCATCAGTCAATAAAACAGACAAAAGTCCCTCCATTGTACAGAGAGGCATATTAAATAAATAGAGAAGATGAAATGTCATATAGTGATGCATGCTATGAAGAAACTAAAGCAAAGGTTGCTGTTTTTGATGAAATGGTCAGGAAAAGTCAATGAGGTCACAACTGAGTCCTTATCTGAAGCAAACATTCCTAGAAGAAGGTACAGCAGATGCAATGGCTCTGGGGCAAAAACATTCTGTGTAAAAAGGTACCTTCATTCAGGTCAAGGTTAGTGTGTGTATGAGGAGGTAGGCTGGGAGAGAGGGGCCATGAATAATCAAGTACAACCCATTGAAGGCTGTGAGAAGACAACTAAACCAAATTAGTTGCCAGTAAGGTGATTCCACACATGGTGACCCTCTGAGTGTCAGGGCAGAACTGAGTTCCATATGGTTTCAGTGGTTGATTTTTCAGAAGTAGATTCATCAGGCCTTTCTTCTGAGGTGCTTCCCGATGGACTCAAACTTCCATCCTCTCGGTTAGAAGCTGAGTACATTAACAATTTGTACCACATAGGGACTCCTGTGAGGAGGAATAACGAAGGTAAGAACGGCAGAGTCTGCATATTTCCTTTTTGTTCTTTGCCCTGGAACACTGTCCAAATCTCCTGCACAGAGAAACGGGCAGACAGACTGTGAGAAAGAACGTGTCTCATCCAGGGCATTCCACATAAGCCAGCACGGCTGGAATACCAGAAAAAAGGTATTCTCTAGTTGCTGCTGACTGATTTCCTAAATTGCATCTATGCTCCCTGCTCTAAGTTTCCCCAAAGAATGTGGTTCTGATTAGCAAACAACGACTTTAATAAGCTTGCTTCTATCGAGTGTATATCCAAAGCCATTAAATGGGGAAGTGCTGGAGAGAAGGGTGGAACAGAGTACAATTAATCCTGTTTGCCATTCTGAGGACACGGAAGTGTGTCCTCAAGATTGTACATTAGATCAGTGAACTAAAATTGTTAAAAAAAAGAAAACAGAGAGGTCCATCAGAGATAAATAGGCAAATACACTAAAAATCCGGTGGTAGTTAATGTTGTGTGTCAACTTGGCGCACCTGGCTGAGTGGATGGGCAGCTGGTGGCAGTTATTCCCCACGATGAGACTGGCAATCAGCTCCATGGTGGGATCTACCACAAGCAGCTAAGTAGCTGCTTTCGGGATGTGGTCTGCTTCCCATATATAAGCAACAGCTTTGGGAATGGTCTCTAGCTTATGGCACCTTGAACCCTGCACATAGCCATGTCGTTGTTTGGCAGCCTGCCATGCTCTGTCGACCGTGGGATTTTCAATGGACTTGAATTAATGGCCTGCCGAGTTGTTTGGTAACATTAAGACTGTGCCTTTTCACTTGTCAACCTTGGATTTGTCAGCCTCAGCAGCCAGTAGCTGCCTGAGTTAAGAAAAACCTCCAGCTTTAGTGAGCTGGGAGTAGGAGGCAGAGCTGAAGCCCAAGATTGAGGGGTTTCACCCAGCCGCTAGGCCTGGCACTTTGAACTTGGACTTAAAACCTCCACACTGTAAGATAATAAACTCTGTTTATTCAAGCCATCCCATCTGAGGCATGTTCTTGTCAGAGCAGCACTAGGTAAACAAAACATCCACTAATCACAAATCCCAGCCTGGGATATTTCTTTCTCTGAGTCCTTCTGCCTTGATCCAGAGTTACAAAATTAGAATATGCCATCCAAAACTTGCCTTACACCATGGAAAAGATAGCCAGTGATGTTACTAATGCTATACCAGCCAAAGGAAAACCTTTAAATTCCTCCACCAAGGTTGTATTAGATAACTGAGTATCTTTAGATTTCCTTTTAGCTTAACAAGGTGAAGTTTATATCATTGCTAATATTCTTGTTACATTTAGATTAATACCTCCAATAAGATAAAACAGGACAGACAAATTTGCAAAATGGCTACATGGCTACATATACCTCCCCAAACTGACTCCTTTTTCCTTGATATTTTTAGCTGGTACCCAAAGGGTATGGGCTCTTGGATTAGATCTGTACTACTGACTAGATGAATAATACTGATTTTAATTGACGTTGTTATTAGAATTATCACATGTTGTGCTGGTTACCTAGTGCCGCTCTGGTAAGAAATACACCACAAATGGGATAGCCTTAACAAACAGGAGTTTATTCTTAAAATTTGGAGGCTTTAAGTCCAAGTTCAAAGTGCCAAACTCTAGGGGCTGGGTGAAAGCCCCTCAACCTTGGGGTCCAGCTCTGCCTCCTGCTCCTGCCCCACTGAAGCTAGAGGTATTTTCTTCACTCAAACAGCTGTTGCCTGCTGAGGCTGTGAAGCCCCAAGGTTGACAAGTAAAAAGGCACAGTCCCAATGTTACCAATCCACATGGCAGGCCATTAACTTAAGTCCACTATAAGTCCCAAGGTCAGCAGAGCATAGCAGGCTGCTGAGCAATGCCATGGCTACATGCAGGGTCCAAACGTGCCAAAAGCTAGAGACCATTCTCAAAACTTCTCCTTATATACAGGAAGCAGACCACATACTAAAAGGCAGCTACTCAGCAGCTCATAGTAGATTCCACCATGGAGTTGATTACCAGTCTCATCATGGGGAATACTACATACAGCTGCCCGGCCACTCAACCAAGCCTAGCCAAGTTGACACACAAACATAACCACCACACATGTTACATAAAAGTTACCTCAAACGTGATTTCTCAGAAATCACATGCTGCCCATAAAACAGACTATGTATACAAGCAAGATATATGCTCTATCTATAGACCTGAGCTCTCACTTTAAGGCTTCAAGTCTGACTGCTGGCAGTTCCTCCAATGTGGCCTTGCTCCATACTTACCCTCACAGAACGATCACATAAGACTAAGTGTTATGATAAATCACAATAAAGAAACCAGATAGTAACCAGCAACCTATAAAAGGAAGTGTATGGGTCTAAAAAGCTTGTCTTAAAACAAGTGACCATAAAATGGAGCTATCAACCAGTTCATACTGAAGAAAAACATACCAATCTAATTGTGATCAAAGAATTTTAAGTAAAATCCTTGATCAAAAGGAGGGAATATACGAGAGCCTCAATTCTGAGGCGCTTGGTTTGTGGAAGGCTGAGGTCTACAGCTGGAGCCCTAACTCCATCTTTAGTCCTGACATCAGTTCAAACTCCATTTTAAGTTTTTTAAGTTACTTCTCTTATGCTTACTGACTGTTAAACAAACTTAATCATGCAGCTAAAGAAATATTTGCTTTGTGATCAGGCACAGATGTAGAGAGTGTACTCTTGAAGAGGGTCTTGCCATAAAACCCTTATCAGAAATTCTCCACACAAGCAGATAGTAGGAACATGTGTGCCTAAGGGCTATCTTAACATCTTGTGACTTGAGAAGTGACATCCTGATAACAATGGTGAACCCTTCCCCAAAGAGAATCTACTTTTGCAATCCCTGCAACTGTAAACCAAGCCTAACAAAAACCCCACTTGAAATGTCCTGCTTCTCCCATCAAAATATTGTAAACTAAAGTTCCTGATTTAACTCTATGAAATGTGTTTGTAGCTGTTAGACTTCAGACTGCTTCACTTCACTTCTTACGTTCCATGCAGCTCCCCAGTTTAAATCTCATCAAGCCCTAATAAATCTCTTTACTATTACTTTAAACAGAGTATGAGTTTTTCCTCATTAACAGTAGGAAACCCTATGTGGCAGTTCTACTCTGTCACATGGGGTCACTATGAGTTGGAATCAAAAAATATGACAAGATGCCTAGCCAGCAACAGATCAGATTGACATCAGTTAATCTAAGGGCCCTTAATTTTCTGCATATGACAGAATCCACTTAATGTTTACAGCACATGGTTGTAGAACTCACAAACCATAATAACCTTGGATATATATTCATGTTTGAAGTAAACTGTTAACGGCAAATAGAAGTGTAATTCATTCACTTTTAATAAAAAACACTTCACATTTCTAAGCTTCAACACAACCGCCATCTTTCATAGCATATTGTTCAATCCAATTTTCTAACTCGTTGAAAGCATTCTCCAGTTGCTGCTGAGTGATTTCCTAAATTGCATTCGTGCTCCCTGCCCTAAGTTTCCCCAAAGAATGTGGTTCTGATTAGCAAACAACAATTTTAACAAGCTTGCTTCTATCAAGTGCATATCCAAAGTCATTAAACCTTAAAGGTATAAGAGGACTTTATAAATATCTACAGTGCTCAAAGAAAAATTTAAGAGAGCTTTTGTGAAAAATACTTAGCAATCAGAACACCTTCCTCTCTCTTCCATAATGATATTAACATAAGGGCCCATCATGAATTGGTCTTTGATGGAGGATTTGTGCTGGCTCACACAAAATGGGTAATAGAGCTCAGGGTGGGGAGGTGGGGCAGTGGGAACAGAAGGTTGAGCCACTTATGATGCCACCAAGGGGATGGGAAATCTCTATTGCAGCCCTAGTGTCCTCTTACTCAACTAAGTACAAAGCACTTCTCTGAAGAAGAGAAAAACGCATCAAGTCAAAATCAGGAGGAGGGGGGAGATCAAATCAGAGAGCTGGAAGCAATGCCAAGGGGTCTTGCTCTTGGCTTTCAGGAAGATTCTACACTACTATATTTTACATACTACATTTTTCATACACAATCTGGTCAAGAAGTATTAACGAATCCTAATGACCCAGAGCCCTTTTATCCCAGCTCTAGAATCTAGAGCCCAGAGCCATGATGCACTCACTCTGAAGGCTCTAGTTGAATCTCCTGACTTTGCTGTTAAGGACCTTGTAGCAAGCATACCCAAATGCCTTTCTGTCTGTTGTACAACCACCTGTATCTTTTGCTTCAGTAAGACCTATTGTTGTTAGCTGTTGACTGATGATGACCCATGTACAATGGGATTGGATGGCTGTGATCCACAGGGTTTTCACTGGCCAATTTTTGGAAGTAGATTGACAGGCCTTTCTTCCTAGTCTATCATCTGGAAGTTCTGCTGAAACCTGTTCAGCATCAAAGCAACATATAAGTTTCCACTGAAAGACAGGTGGTGGTTGTGCAAGAGGTGCAATGGCCAGAAATTGAACCCAGGTCTCCTGAATGGAAGGTGAGAATTCTACCACAGAACTACCAATGCCCAAGACAGACTTACTTGCCTGCTTACTCCTTGTCATGCATCCTGCTTGTTCTTATCACCACAACTTTACCTCTATTCCCTCTACCAAAAGGAATGCAATCCTTTTCTCAGCCTCTATAAATCCACCCCAGATTGTAGACCTCAGGGAACCTCCCACCCACCCCAGTGCATAGTGAGCTTTTCAATCTAAGCTGAATGTCTGTAGTTGCCCACTTCTACTTCTATTTATCACTTATTATCCAAATTGAGATTGCCTTAAAAGCTTTGGCTATGCTGAGCTTTCCCATGCATTTGTCTTGACAAACTCTTTGAAGGGCAAGAATAAAATCCAAAATTCTTTGTCTCCTTTACTCTGCTCAGTATATATAT